CAGCCTCCCCTGTGGATCTGGGACTTGCCGTCTATCACAATTGCAGGAACAAATTCCTTAAAATAAATCTCCCTCTCCCTCTTCCCCCCCACCCCCACATACACCCATTGGTTCTATTTCCTGAACCTGACCTGACAGCCATGGTGCAGGGGATCTAAAGCTGACCAAGGGGAAGCACTGTGCTTCGTGTCGCCCTCGAGGCCCCACGGCTCTCCCAGGGCTCACACCCAGTAGGAGCTCCACGCTGGTACCTTGGTGATAACGATGACTGAGCACTTGATGCACTCTGTGTCCTAGCTGGCAAGTCCGCCCCGACCAGAATGAAGAGGGACTGGAGTCCAGCCTGGGTTGGTGCCTGTGGCAAATTGCAAATGTCCACCAGAGCAGGTGAAGAGAAGTTCAGAACCAGACGTTTTGGTTGTACATGTTGGGGGCTGAAACTTCAACATGGGGGAAGGGACTTCTCTGTGCAGGTGCCTGCCTTTGTCCACAGCCCTTAGGAGCAGGCCAGTGAGAGGCCACTCCCCTTGGCCCTTCGAGAACCTGCAAGGTGGTGGAGAATGGGGAGAAGGGCTTGCGTGGTCCTGCCTTTATCCCTTCTCGCTTCCCTAACAGCCCACAGACTGGCACAAACAGAAGGTCAGTTTTCTCAAGTTTTATTGTAAAATCCTCAGAAAAAGGGCATTTACAATGACAATACTTCATGATAATCTGTGAGTTGTCTTCATATCAAGTGGTACTGTGGTTACACGGTGTGTTTAATACGGTGCAATACGTCAAAGTAAACACAAACTTATTTCATATGCCACATACAGTTACTGTGTTGGTACAAATTTCTACTAAAGTTGATGTATTAAAAATAATTTATATATATTTTATAAATAAGGAAAAATTCACATGTGTAGTAATTACAGGAGGCCTTTTGAGAAATACTGGTGATTACAGAAAATATATTTTGGTGTCTACACAACAGCTCAAAATAATGTATCTGCCTTGAAATAAGAGATCTGAAAGTTTTCTGAGGTGGGGGAGGATGAGAATCTTCATGGGACAAAGGGTGTGCCTGTGACTTCCTATCTTGAGGGCTGTTCAGCTACACTAGAGTGTGAAACAGCATGTGTGTGATCACTCCAGCCACACACCATGCCCACTTTTGTTCCAAGATCATTTCGCATGGCCTTCAGAGAGTGCAAGCAGAGGGGAGAACAGTGGGTTGTGATAGGGCCAGGCCAGGAAGAGGGGGTAACCAGCCACAGGAGCCAGCCTGGGTGTGCCGTGGGGTCTGGGGTGACAGCTTATGGACCTGTTATCCCACACCTGTCTGAAGCAGCTTAAGTAGCAGGGGACCAACAACTCTTAAACTGATGGCAGATGTCACCCTGGGCAGTGGACAAAGGATGAGATTTTGAGAATTTTCTCATTGGAGAGCACTCAGGCCCCATGATCAGCCAAGACAGGTTGCCCTGCCTCGGAAACGGAGTTCTGATCTTGAAGAGCATATCCCTAAAGGGCAGCATTTTCCGATCCTGCCATGGTGACGTGTGGCGAGGTCGCCTGCTGGGCGTGGGGGCCAGTCAATCGTTATTGCTTTGTGGAGTGCAGGCTAAGCCTTCTAGAGCCCTCTGGGGTGTGGCCCATGTTCTCTAGGGCCGTAGAGGAAAGAGATGGTTCCATATTAGTTAAGACGTGCTTGGAAAGAGGGGTGTGTGAATGGTAGGTTTGTCCAAGAATAGTGACAGAAAGTACATGGTCAACACTCTGGTGCTGGCTCCAGGAACCTTGCAGTCAGCGTTGGAAGCCAGTCTCTGCTTTCCCCATACTTTGCGTGATTTCACACATTGTGTTTGGGTAAATCCCCATTGCTGTCCACAGCTCCAAAGAAGGTGTGAGAACGTGCTTGCGGGGCTCCTGGTGTCAGCGGGGTGGCTGGTGCCTGAAGTATGCAGGCTCCCAGAAGATGCACAAGTTCTCAAGTAACCTTAGGTAGTCTGGTGGAGACCAGAGCAGGAAGTGGCTTGCACTCCATCAGGGATTTGGGGTCTGTGGTCAGACCTCAAGCATAGGCACTGTCTGTTTTCTTCTTTGAATCTTCTAAGCCTCTCTGTTCTATAATCTTGACGATTTTGAAGAGAAACCATGACAGCTAATGACTTTGTTGAACAAAACTGCTCTGCCTACATGCTAGTCTGGGAGCAAATAGTAGCATCTGGCCCTGTGAGGGACTTCTTACTTGGACTTGAAAGCAAGGTAGCAGCATGGGGCAAAGGCCATTGGGGGAGCTGGTATGACAGTAGGTCAGTTGCTCCTCAAATTGTAAAAGCTGTGGCACGACTGATGCACAGGAGGCCCGAGGCATGGGGTAGGGGGATCCAGCAAGGCAGAGAATAAACTGGAAATGAGGAAGGTGTAGTTCGGGTCTTCTAAGGGATAAAGCTTGGGTGAGTCATCACCGTCTGTATTCCTGTCTGACAGTTTCTGTTTGACAATAATTCACTTCCCTGACACCTGGGAGTTTGCTCTGGTCTTGATCACCTCGCTTGGAAAGGCTGCAAGGTAGGGCACGGGGGTCACGATTCTGGGCAGCAAAGGGCTGTGTCCCAGTGGGTTCTGATCGCACTTGGAGAAGGATCTGGGGTTCTGGGTGGGGGAGGAGAGCATGGTTGTCAGCATATGTCACAGTTGGTCTTCAGGATGGGGGGTGGGTGGGAGGACAGCTTCCAGAGGAGCTGGGTGCAGGGAGGAGAAGGTGAGGTAGACCGGTAGGTGCATGGGAGGGAGTGAGATGTGGCATCAGCAACCTGGAGCCTTCCCAGTGGAAAGGAGGACCCGAGACAGAGTTGTGAGATTGGTGATGAAGATGGTTCAGCGTCCGTTGTATGTGAGTGAAACACACAGTGAGAAATGAATGGGTGACGTCATAAGCCCCTGGTAGAAAAATATATCCAGAGTGGATCTGTTGCATGTCTCCATTCTGGATTCTCCTTTAGTTCACAGGTTACTGGTCAACAGAAAAGAAGTTGTGGCCACACAAAGCCCACTTCCGGCTGCTCTCCTAAATGAAATCTCAGCAGTTAGACTGCCTAGGGCAGCAGGAGGCTCTCTGTGTTCCTTGGGGTTGAGAGCTATCCTCGGGGCCCTTCCTGGAACTGGGAGTCCCTTCCTGCACAGAGGAGCAGGAAGGAAAGGAAATGGCTGGGGTCTGGTGGGGCGGGGCGGGGACTGAGCTGCTGTCTCTGCTCACGATGCCTTGAGATTCAGGTTCCTGTAGCTTGGTATTAGCGCTTGGCCCCAGCCCGACTTCATGGGGGCACTTCCAGGTTCTTCCAGCAGTTCTGGGAAGGTAGTGGGATCCTTAAATGCCTGGGAGACCTTGGGAAGAAGACTGGGCCAGCCCCAAGCAGGTTGCTGGGGCGGAGAGGGTGGCATTTACAAGGCGTGTACTCCACACCCAGGCTTCCTGCATGGGGAGTCCATGCAGTTGCCTGGAAGCCGACGAATCCCTCTTCCTACCAGCCTTCTGTGCAAGGCTGGGTGGGCTTTGTGGACCCAGAGCTCCCATGCAGGGTTCTGCTCACGTGGGCAGGAGCACGTGTACCTCCGTTTCAAATCTTTAATATCAGCAAAGGTGTAGGTGATATGTGAGTTACAAAAAAAAATACTGTTGAATTTTTGTGAAATCAGTTTTATTTCAAAATTGAGTAATTTTGAAGTAGTTCATTATGAAAGCAGCTTTTTAAATGTAAGACGAATGCTTCTTTAGTGTGAAATAGTTGTTGTCAGCTGAACTTGGGTGTTCAGCAGAAGGATCTCCGGCTGGGCTGGCTGCAAGGCTTACCATCTCTGACTTTCCAGCTGTGTCCCAGGGAGCCACTTCTGGGGCTGGAAAGGGCCAGGGGCAGCCTGGCCCGCCTTTCCCCTGCCTCCCTCTGCCCCCAGCAGTTCTGTTGGTTGCCCAGCTGAAAAGGCAGCTACTCTGCGGCCTTTGTGCACTCTGCTTGGCTGCTGTTCTATGTGGAGTGCACGCCTTGAGGCCTGAGCCGGGGGCTCCAGTAAACACGGTGAGTCAGCGTGAGGCAGAGATACTTTCTCAGACACATCTAGAGATGGAAGATTGGGGCCAAGGATTGGTGGCTGGAGTCACTCCTGGTGCAAAAGGGCCTTTGGGATTGAATGGTCTTTGACTTAGGAACCCCGTGACCCAGAGGGGCTGCTGCTCTGGCCTGGCAGCTGGGAGGTTCTTCCTCAGGTAGGCTCGGAGACTTTTTTATTATGTTCAGCTAGCCAACATGTAGTATGTCATTAGTTTTTGACGTAGCATTCAATGATACGTTAGTTGCATATAACACCCAGTGCTCATCCCAACTGTTTTTTTTTTTTCCCTCTCCCAGGGGTCGCCACTGTGTAGAAGATTTTCCCAAAGGGACAAGTTCATGAAAGTTGGAGAATTTCCACGATAGAAGTGGGAGTCTAGAAGTGAAGGTGTCAAGAGACCGAGACAGGAATAAAAAGAAAGGGTGAGAGGCATTGTCCGTCCCAGCCCTGGTGAAAGTGAGAAGGTGGCCTTTGAAGGCCATACCCTCCACCTGTAGCTCCATCCTTTACCAGGAACAAACCTTCAAGTCTGCATGGGCATAGCTGGCCACACTCTTGGGAGCTGGAGTGGACAAGTGTTTGGTGAACCAAGATGCATGGGAGATGCCAAGGGACGGGCCAATTTCAGGAAATCGGGCGGACAGGGTGGTTTGGGTGGGCTGGGCAGTCAGGTGAGTGTGAACGGGAGCTGTGTGTAGGTAAAGCAAGGCAGGGTGTATGTCTTTCTTCTCCTGAGAGGGGCTGGTGATCAGCACACAGGAAAAGCTTGGCCATGTTGGCAGGTGAAGGGGGCTATGTGAGCTGAGGTGACTGTGAGGGGATCTTTTCCAGCTTCAGGTGGCTTGAAAATCAATCACTTAAACCAGAAAGCATACGGGTGTGTTGTGACTACTGACATGAGGAAGAAAGGGGGGGTTCTGGGGGTCCAGGGAAGCTTCTTCACTGGGGACATTCTCCCCCACAGGGCCCTTCCCTGGGCCAGCTGTTGTACTTCCTTGTGCACCCCCCTACCCCCCGCTAGCCTGGCAGAGTGTGAGACATTGGGGATCATGCAGCATTGACAGCCTGTATCCTTCTCCCCAGCCCCTGAATCCTTGGGATTGTGGGTTTTGTGGCGTGGGTTACTGGGGCGAGAAGGGCCCATGTGTAAGGAGGTCCTGAAACGTGCTGTCTGGGCTGTGTTGAAGCAGGGACTGGAGTGCGTGGGCCACAGACAGAAAAAGAAAGGGACTTTAAAAACGGATAGCCTACAGAACCCACCTGGACCCCACACGGGTCTTTGGGGTTACTGTGTGGAGCCTGGAGGTCACTGTTCGGTAGGTTACCGCCCCCCACTTTGCCTGGCAAGCCCAGTCTACCCTGAATCTGGGGTCCTGGGCCTGGCTAAGAAAACCTCCCCCTTCAGTGGTAAAAGGCAGGCACGCAGGGTTTGTCCTGGTCTTTTGTGTCCCAATCCAGAACAAAGTCTTGGCCAAGGTGGTAGCCAGAGCTGCATGTGGGACTTCCGTGGTGTGGAGGGTATTATTCTTGGATGACCATTGTTCCTTCTGGCTGTAGGACGTGGGGTGGGGGCGCTCAGAGACTTGGCCTAAGGCAGGGAGAAATAGAGCTGGACGTCGGAGAGCATCTTTCTGCTTATGAGCATTTGAGGTTATAAAAAATTATCTTTTAATCAAAATTTCCAAAATAAATTGAGTGATTTCCCCATCCCCAAGATGCAAGAAGTCTTGTCGGCTCTCCCTCAGGCTCATACCAAGTCACATGGAAAGAAAAACACATAGCAGCTGCGCAGGAGAAAAGGAGGTCCAGGAAGTGGGCGGCCGTGGCTCTCAGGCCTGGAGTGCAAGCCCTGCTCCCCGCGAGCCTGTCTGCAGGCCTGGCTTCCGGCCACTCCATTGGGGTGAAGCCTGGCCAGACCCGGCGGTGAGGGACAATGAGCACATGAAGGCAACCAACGGAAAGTTAAGCCTGGACAGCAGGAGCTCTTGGTTCCACGGTGTCCCCAGGTAACATGGTGTGGAGCTGGGCACAGAAATGATTCCTTGACACGGCAGCATGGGTTCTCACCGGAGCTCAAGGCATAACTCATACTTCCCAACGAAAAACCCCAATCTGGTTAGCAGCGCATACCTTAGACTAGGAAACTTGCAAGGAGACCAGTGTTGAACCACAAAGCGAGTACAGGTTTTGCTTTTGTCTGTAAAAATGTACAGGGCGCCTGCTTGGGGCTACGGAGTGAGGACTAGGCGGAGCTCGGTGGCCCGGGGCTCTGCTCGGTGCGGGGGGAGGACCCCTTCATACCTCACCCACCCACACGGCTGTGGTCCCCCGCCTGATGCCCGCCACCTCACAACGCAGTGCGTTTTGTCTCCCATTGATGAGGAACAGCGACTCCTGGGCCGGCGTGAGCAGGTACTGTCCGAAGAGCCCGCTGTCCCTCACAATCCTGCGGGGCCCTCCCCACGGCCCGCCCGGCCCTGCAGGCGGCTCCTTTAGGTTCTCTAGCATGCCCATCTTCCCCGTGGACAGCTCCAGGAAGAGCAGGGCCGGCTCCGTCTCCGCCGCGGCGTACACGTAGTACTGGTTGCCCTGGGTGAAGGAGGGCTGGAAGGCCACGTCCGAGACGCCCGGGCTGATTTTCAAGCTGTAGAGGGTTCGGATCCGGCCCTGCAGCGTGATCTCCTGCACGTGCAGCTGGGAGCTGGTGGGGGCAGCGCTGACGACGAAGCGCCCATCGGGGGACACGTGTGGCGTGCCACTCACGTCACCATTGGGGCCGACCACCGAGTCTGTGACGCTGTCGAGCAGCAGCTGGGGGGCGGCGGGCGCGGGGCTGTCCTGTCGGCACTGCACAAAGAAGTAGCCGCCCAGGTGCGTGTGGGCCATGGCCTGGGGCGTGCAGCCGTGCCGCTGCAGGCTGACGGTTTTGAGCAGCACCAGTGTTTCCAGATCCACTTTGTGGATGGCCGCGTCGGACTTGTTGAAGATGAAGCCGAACCTGCAGAGGGAAGAACTGAGGTCAGAAGTGTAAGGGATTGCATCTTTTCTCTTCACTCTGTTGTCTCCCTTCAGGGATCTGATAGTTTCTTAAGGAGATGTACCGTCCCACAGGGCACAGCTTCTTCCGTGATTCAGCGATGATGTCAGACCAGAGGCAGTCGAGTTACAAATGCTCCTGGATGGACGCTCCCCTGACACACCCAGGATAGAAGGAGCATAAAAGTGCCCATGGCCGCTCCTCCCTGGGGGAAGCCTTCAGATTAGCACCCCTGAGGCTTTGCGCCAGCTGGGAAGGACAGGACACACCTGCTGTCAGTGCTCCTTCTCCTGGAAAGGACCGTGGGAGGGGGGGCAGCCTTTCCTGGGTCCTGTTTACGAGGCCTTTGGGAGCCATCCTGGGCAGAGGGTGCAGAGGACAGCGTTTACCTTTGCAATCGGACGGCCAAGGTGTCGCACACGGCCTCTCTCCCAGCAGAGCTGGGCACATGGCTCGCCTCTTGGAGGCTCTGCGACTCTAAAGAGGGCAGTTCCCTCTGAGAGGGTTGTCAGAGGACTGGATCAAAGAGGAAGCTGCAGGGGAAGGGCTCAGTAGGTGGGCGCTGCTCACATCTGTTCACATCTGGTCTTGGCGCAAGTCTGCTTTGGAGGCGGGTTGTGAGCTGCAAAGAGACCTGACCCTGGGCAGGACTTGGCTGTGACTCGGGGGCCTCTGCCCAAATCCCTGGCTCGGGGAGGCCTTTTGGTGCCTGTGGACACCTACAGGAGTAAGAGAAAAGTCTCCACCGCACTTATCTCCTGAGTAACTAATGGAGCGTCAGAGTGGGGAGGTGGCCAGTTTAAAGCTTCTTTAAAGCCTTCCTAAAGAGCCAGGGCACAGAGAAAGCAGGAAAGAGAAGCCTGCTCATAGAAGCAACTTGAATGCTAAAGGCCACACACAGACAACGCAGAACCTGTAAGTTTGTTAGACTCCTGGCTGAAGTCAGCTTCTTTGGGGGATTTTACCCCTTCAGAGGCATCTTAGAAGCTCTTCCCAGGTGCTGTCTACAGGGAGGGGTTCGTTAAGGGGTGTTTTCTTCCCGGTCTTGGATAAACGGGTGGGCCTAGTTTTACAAGCCCAGTTTTACAAGCCCAGTTTCAGTGTACAAAAACGAGGCATTTCTTCTTGGAGGAAGGTGTTTGATGTCAGACAAAAGAAAGGCATAAATAGTGCCCCCAAGACCTTTGGGTCTCGGTGCCTTGATCAGAGGGAGGCTTAGTCTGCTGCAGTGCTGACTTTCCGGGGTGGGGGGGTGTCTGGGGGTTCTCTGATGTGAACAGGCAGGGGGAGGGGCCGGCTGGGATGAGGGTTGCAGTGGAGACTGAGGACGCCTTTATTAGGCTGTTCTTCTGGATGGTGACAAACCAGACAACTGGGAGGGTTTGTTTCCTGGCTGGCCCTCTGCATGGCTGCTCAGGGGGCTCCTGGCTGTGTTAACTTGGCCGTCCAGGGTCTTAGCTTCTTCGAGCCTCTGTTTCCTCATCTGTAAGAAGGGGTTAAGACCACTTTGACTAGTTTTTTGTGTGTCTAGTAAGTATAGTGCGCTCCAGTCACCACTGCTGATTTTCCTCTCTTGTCCTCCGTGGACCTCGGAGGGTGGGAAAGCTGGCTGCCTTCCTTAACTATGACCATTAAGGACTCGGGATCGGTCTATTTCTCTGTCCCCTCATGAAGGAGCCCAAGGTCAGCTCAGCATGAGTGGGAAAGAAACAGAGAAGGAGCAGGTCTCACGGTGGGCAAATGCAGCCACAGGCAGGGCTGAGCTGGGTTACAGGGGGTACTGGAGGGCCCCGTGGCCCCATCTCACCTGACGTGGTTGATGATGAGGTTTGTCGGGGGAATGAAGAAATCGTCCACTCCTGAGAACGGTGTGTGGATAAGATGCTGGCCCTGGGCAGTGCTGGCTTCTGTGATCACCTACAACACAGAGCAGGAGTCCTGGTGAGGGTCCACATGAGTGGGGGGTGGCAACGTGGAAACATGTTCATGTGCTGGCAGGGACCCTCAGCGGACAGGCTGCTTCAGAGAGAGAGGGGGCCAGGAGCAGAGTGGGAGCTGCTTGGGAATGTCAGAGGCAGGGACCCATCCTCCTGTGGAGAGGAAGCGATGGTTTGGGAATGCCCGAACCATGCCCTCCTGCTTAGGGAAGCCTAACCCTGATCCTATGGGACCCTGTCGCCCCCTGAGGGCACAGCTTCCCAGAGGGGTCCCTAAAACAGAACGGTAACTATGCTCAGATGCTCAGAGACCACACTTCCCCACAACTGAGAATCCTACCATCTAAGCATCCAGGTCACCCTGGGAAAAGAGGGAGAGCGCCTTTAAGTCACTAAAATGTTAAATGGTGGAAAGATTTACTGGTTCCCTGTTTTCCTCTGATGTCAGGTGCCTGGGCCTGTTTGTTGGGAATCTCTGTCCTATACTGCTCACAGAGGTGTTCTCTGGGAATTGTGACTCCAAATTTTATCAGAGAGAGCAGATATTGTGCAGAAATGCCATTCAAAGATGCTGCTCTGGCCATTTAGATGGCTTGCAGTTAGAATGCTGGGGCTCAGGCCTGGTAGTGGAAAGGACTTGTGAGAAAAATGAAGAATCAGGCACTGGATTTTGTACATGATGGGAGTGACCGAGCACAGCTACCTCTGTTTCCCTGGAGGTAACACCTGATCCCCTGTGGAGTCAGCAGGAGGCTGATGCAGCCACTGTCTGGTGCAGAAATCCCTGGGGGGGGGGGTCTGTGTCAGGGAACAGCATGCTACCGATGCGGAAGAGAGCCACATGCTGTCGGAGATTAGGTGGCATGACAGAGTAGTTTGAAGGTCCTGCCAGGAAGCCCTCTGTGGGCAGGCTGAGCATCTGTCCAGCAGCTACCCTAGTCTTGGGTGCGTCTAGGCCATGACATCGTGCCAGCCAGCCTGGGTCCCCCTTGTCTTTGCACATGCTCATCAGCCCTCAGTGGCTAGGCCAGTGCTCTGAAAGATGGCCGACCTGCAGCCAGAGGAGGAGCTTGGCCACCTGGTGGGCCATTTTGGGGGAAGAGCCACAAGGTCAAGCCCAGACCCTCTGAGCAGGAGAGTGGGGCTTAGGCCTGAACACAGAGCTTAGACACTTTTCCTGATCTAGATATTGTGGCCATGTCTACAGAAAGAAGGGTCTAGACTTGTGTAGCCTGAGGCTGAGGACAGTGTCTCCTGGAGCTTTGTGACTCACAAGGGTTGGAGTTCTGGAGGCTTTTACTTTCGAAGAATAGGCCTGACTTCTGGCTCTTTCTTTTATGGGAAAATGAACACCACTTGGCCCGCCTCCTCAGGGAGGGTTGAGGTTTGAGACTTTTCTGGATCGTGGTTCCCACGCAGGCAGAACGCCCGATTGGAATGATGAGGCCTGTGATTTGTATTTTTAGCCTTGGGGCGGCTCCAAAGTTGTAACATGGCATTAGGTTATTTTGCAGTGGTTTTTAAAAATGGCCAAATGACACTTCCATGGCAAGCACATGGAGAAAAAACCTCTCAGAACTGGGCAGTAAGAAAATAGCAGCCTGAGGAAACTGGATCTTGGGAGTGTCTAAGGGAAAGTGCCAGAGAATTCCAAGAAGACATACAATCACTGCTTGATATCAGGCCTGTCATTTTCACTTCTAATAGAAATGGAAAATCACAGGCTGTCAGCGGTCAGGGTCATTCACGCCTCACCACACCGACACCCTGTACTGAGAGATTACCTCATCAAAACGCACTAGCATGGGCCATTGAGCCGATGGGCGCGACCCGCCTCATTTCTCCAACGAGTCTTGAGTTCCTTATTGGCCTTGCATTCTGCAGAGGGCCTGGGCACATTCGTGTCCTCATTCATGCCCAAAAGATAAGTGTTATTTGAACCCCTCAGTTTTGTTGGCTCTCTGGGCTTGGTTCAGGAGCTGTACATCAGTGTCGAGATACCATGAAATGTCACTTGGTCATCAGTGCAGGGTCCTGAAGGCTGGGCAGCTCTCCCAGCGGGTAGACAGAACCAGCTGAGAAGGGAGGCCTCGTTGAGCTTCAGATACTGTTGCCTCTCGTGTCTACTTTTATAGGATTTAGTTCCTTTGTGGTTTCTGATATACTTGTGTGGATGTGGACATGAGAAAAAATGGTTTTGCAGATGCCAAGTTTATAGTAAACCAAGTTGTGTCATTATTCAGGTTTCCCCTGTCCTTCTTTGGTCTTTTTTGTACAATGTGAGTGCATTTTTAATCGAATTCGTCTTTATGTTAAATCACTCTTGTTTGAGGCATTTAGTTGTTAAGTGCTTGATATCTCTTGGGTGTTCATCCCATGGTGTCTCTCTGTGTTTGCTGTTTTTAGTGCTTTTGACCTTAAACCCCACCTTGCCTGATGTGAGTGGCAGTCTGGATACATTCTTGTCACCTGTCCTTACTATGCCTGCCCTTTTAAATTCAGCCTTTTCTTCTCTTTGAAACATGTGTGTTTCTCATCAACAAGTTCTAGTTTTCTTCCTTCCTAACCCAGTTTGATCATCTCTGCTTTCAAGAGAAATCAGTTTGTCAGATGTGGAATAATGAGACCATTGTTTCCCAGCTGCTACATTCTGCCAGCATTCTCTAAACTTTCTATTATTCCAGTAAGGTATTTCTAAGTATTTTTACCCCCTCTTCTTTCCTCCACTCCCTATGCTTATTTTTATGGAAATAATTTATCTTTGGTTACCGTCTGGTAGCAGGGTTTCTCATCCAGCGTGTCTCTCCTCATTCAGACATCCTTATTTAGCACTGATTACCATTTCCAGGGAGGCTGTCCTCATCCTTCTTCTCTGGGCTCATTGTTCAGAACTGTCTCCTCTTTATCTTGAGGACTCTGATCTGGTTCATCTGGTGTTTGTTGGGTATCTTTCCACAGATCTGTTCCTCAGAGGGGGCGGTGAATGATGCGGTCTCTGAATTCTTATGCCTACGCTCTCTTTTGTCCAGTGAAGGCTATCTGGGCCAGGAATAGGACTCTTGGATTTCAGTCCTAGAGCATCTACGATGTGCCAGCTGCTGTGGCAGGTGGGAAATCCAGGACCAAGCTGGTGTTTTTTTTTCTGTTTTTCAGCTCATAGCTGTTAAATTAGGAAATCATTTTTGGTTTCAGAAAAAAAGTGTTTTGGTGGACCCTCCCCATGAATTACTTTAGAGGCTTTCCAGGAGCTGCCAGAGGGACCAATAAGTTAGGATTTCCCTGGGCTTACACTCTGCTCTGAATGACCTTCATTCAGGCTCCTAAACCCTCTAATGGGGATTTTCTGTCAGTTCACTGGGGCCCAGGGTCATGGCATCCCTCAAATGACAGTAGTCTCCGTTTACAGGAGGTGTGGCAGAGACTTCTCCCTGGCCCAGCAGGGCAGAGACAGGCAGGCAGGTGGTCAGTCTTCTGGAGGATGACCCTTCCTTCTTCCCGGTCTTGAGAACAGGGTGAACTGGGATCCCTCTGCAGTTCTTCTCAGCTGGTCTTCTGAGAGAGAACAAAGCCCTAATGTCCTGAGGCATCCAATGCATGAATTAACTTCTCTTCTGTCTATCTAGAGGGGCTCTGTGTACATCTCTGGGAGAAATCAGGCATTCAGATCTCTTTTCTTAGGGCTTAATCCTCGAATGCATCCCTGCTGATGAGAAAGGCAGAGGCACGCACTCTTAACATGGGGATGGTGTTGACCGTCTCTTGTTGGTGGACAGGGGAATCCCACAGAACTCTCAGGCCTAGACTGTTTCCAACAGACCGTACCGTGCACTGGCTGACACTGGGCTGCAGAGCCGCAGGGCCTGGTTTGGACCACGGGTACGTTACTGAACTTTCCTGTGCCCTAAAGCACCATAAGCACTCAATAGATGCGCTTCTAGTGTGGACACGACTGCTGCTCTTACTTTCCTTTCCTTATCAAGTACTTGCTTGGACACTGCCCTTGAGCCTGCTCAGCCCAAGGAGCAGAACGCCCTTGCTCAGGAGAGGGGGAGTCCGGGAGCCACATTCCACTTGTCCTGACATCACAATCTTAGCCATCATCAGGATTCTTGTCCTTAAAGGTAGGCCTGGCAGATGATACCTTGGTAATGGTCTGTGAGGGGCTCTGGCTCTCCTTAAGCCTTGGTAGATAGATTTTGGATAAATGTGATTAGCTACCTAGGGAAGCAAGAGACGTGTATGGGAGGTCAGCATCCTTTGTTCTGTGGGGTGAGTGTGGGTCTCCATGTGTTCAACATACCTGGAGGCTCGGTTGGGACTTGTGCACATCCCCCCAGCTCAGGACCCACACTTGGTCATGAGACTTGTCATAGGTCAGCTTAGATGGCAGAGGGTCCACACCTATGGACTTGAGAAAAAAATACATACAAGTGGGTCATCATTATTATGAGCTGACACGGTGGTCACTTCTGGACTTGGTGTACATGACCGTCATGCCTAGGTGAGTGGAAAGCCAACCTCTCTGCCTTGGCATAAAGCCGGCTTGGGAGGCCAGGGCTTAAGCTGCCCTTCTGGGTGTTCTTTAGAGGCAGAAGTAAACTCTTGCCAGTAATTGAAACCTTTTCGAAAAATTCTTCCATGTTTTACTCAAAGGGGACCCAGACCATCTCAGCAAAAGCCTAAACATAACCAGAAGGTTACATTTTCCACTCAAGAATCAGCTGCAGGGCACTCTGGTTCCTGCTCCCAGAAGGCTTTTAGACCTCTAGAACCCTCTGTGTCCTTCCCCAGGTGGTTCTGAGCTGAGATTCTGGTGCATTGGCCCTTCCTCCTGAGCCACCTGAGATTGACTTTGAGATCAGCCCTTATCCCTGGACTCTTAGGTCAGCAGAGCTTTTCCCTTTCTATTCCCCTTCCCTTCCCTTCCCCCTTTTCCCCTTCCCCATTTCTTCCTTCCCTTCCCCCCTCCCCTCCCCTTTAAAAAATTACTAGGCATTACAAGATACAGAGTATATGGCTAGAGACTACTAAAAAATACAAGAGAAACAGACCCATGAATGATTTATAAAAAGATAATTACAAATTTATATACAGAAGTGTGTATGTATGTATATATATATATATATATATATATATATATATATACACAGAAGTAAAATTAAGTAGAAATAAATGCAATACCTGAAATTAAGAACTCACTAAATAGGTTCTGTGAAATCCATATTAGGCATAGCAGAAAACAGGGCTAGGGAAAGATAGGTTGATAGAACATACGAAAATTGAAGCATGAAGAGACAAAAAAAGGATGGAAAAGAAGAGTACAAGAACATGTGGGATGCAGTAGAAATGTCTAACTTTTAAGTTTCCAAAGAAGAGGTAAGAGACAATCCCAGTCTGATGAAAGTTATCAATCTACACATTCAAGAACCACTAAAACTTCAAAACCACTAAAACTTCGAAATTGGAATACATACAAAGAGCATCATCCCTGGGCACATCAAAGTAAAATTGCTAAAGATCAAAGAGTGACAAAAAGACTGGCAGTTGACCTATTACCAAAACAACAGAAGACAATGGAGCAACATCTTAAAATGCCAAGTGAGTACAATTGTTAAGGTAGAATTCTATATCCAGTGAAAATAGTCTTTAAAGGGAAAATACAGTTCTTTTCAAAGAAACAAAAACAGAGTGTGTTGCTATCAGGTCTCCACTAAAAGAGCTACTTAAAGTCATTCCTCACAATGAAAATGATCCCAGACAAAGCTGTGTACTTCAGGAAGAAATAAGGAGCAGTGAGAAAAGTAAATATGTGGGTGAATATATATGACTACCAAGTGTACAAAATAATGCTAAGCCAGGTCTTGTAGGGTTCAATTATATATAGAATTAAAATCTATCCCCACAATCATATGAAAAGACAGGAGAGGAGTTAAAGGAGTTACTGTTACATGGTTCTATTAGAGAAGTGAAATCATAAATTATGAGACTGTACTGAGACAACTATGCATATTATAATCTCTGTGGTAGTCCTAAAAATAACAGAATAATATTTGATTAATCCAAAAGAAAGTAAAATGGAGGAAAAAGAAAAAAACAGATCAAGTAAAAAACCAGTAAGATGGTAGATTTAACTATAAAATTAACTGCCTTAAATATAGATGGATCAAATGGCCCAAGTAAAAGATCAAGATTATAATACTAGATAAACCCAAACACACGTAGCTTTATAAAAGACCACCTTAATCGCTGAGCCACCCAGGCACCCAGGCCATAAAAGACCACCTTAAATATATGGACATAGAAAGGTTGAAAGTGACAGGATGGAAAAATACAGCTAACACTAATTAAAAGAAATCTGATCTGTCTGTACTAGTAACATAGACCAGAAAGGAACAGAGACAATATACTGTAATAGTCACCGTACAGGCGATACAATGGCACTACATTCATATCTTGCAATAGTTACCTGAATGTAAATGGGCTAAATGCCCCAATCAAAAGACCCAGGGTATTGGAATGGATAAAAAAAAAAAAAAAAACAACAAAAAACAACAACAAGACCTAGCGATATGCTGTCTGCAAGAGATTCATTTTAGACCCAAAGACACCTCCAGATTTAAAGTGAGGGGGTGGAAAACGATTTACCATGCTAATGGACATCAAAAGAAAGCGGGGGTGGCAACCCTTATATCAGGCAAATTAGATTTTCAACCAAAGACTATAATAAGAGGTGAGGAAGGACACTCTTTCATACTTAAAAGGGTCTGTCCAACAAGAAGTTCTAATAGTTTTAAGTATCTATGCCCCTAACATGGGAGCAGCCAATTATATAAACCAATTAATAACAAAATCCAAGAAACACATCAACAATAACACAATAATAGTACAGGACTTTAACACACCCCCTCAATGAAATGGACAGATCATCCAAGCAAAAGATCAACAAGGCAATAAAGGCTTTAAATGACATACTGGACCAGATGGACATCACAGATTCAGAACATTCCATCCCAAAGCAACAGAATACACATTCTTCTCGAGTGCACATAGAACATTCTCCAGAATAGATCACATCCTGGTTCACAAATCAGGTCTCAACCCGTACCAAAAGAGTGGGATCATTACCTTCATATTTTCAGACCACAGTGCTCTGAAACTAGAACTCAATCACAAGAGGAAAGTTTACAACTCCACTCCAGATATATGGAGGCTAATGAGCATCCTACTAAAGAATGAGTGGGTCAACCAGGGAATTGAAGATGAATGAAAAAATTATGGAAACAAATGAAAATGAAAACAACTGTTCAAAACCTTCGGGATGCAGCAAAGGTGGTTCTAAGAAGAAAGTATATAGCAATACAGGCCTTTCTCAGGAAATAAGAAAGGTCTCAAGTACACAACCCAACCCTATACCTAAAGCAGCTGCAGAAAGAACAGCAAAGAAACCCTAAACCCAGCAGGAGAAGAGAAATAATAAAGATCAGAGCAGAAATCAATGAAATAGAAACCAAAAGAACAGTAGAACAGATCAATGAAAGTAGGAGCTGGTTCTTTGACAGAATTAATAAGATTGATAAACCCTTGGCCAGACTTATCAAAAAGAAGAAAGGACCCAAATAAATAAAAACATGAATGAAAGAGGAGAGATCACAACCAATACCAAAGAAATACAAACATTAATAAGAACATATTATGGCGACTATATGTAGCAAATTAGAAAATCTGGAAGAAACAGATGCATTCCTAGAGATGTATAAACTACCAAAACGGAACCAGGAGGAGATAAAAAGCCTGAATAGACCCATAGCTAGTAAGGAAATTGAAGCAGTCATCAAAGATCTTCCAACAAACAATAGTCCAGTGCCAGATGGCTTCCTAGGGGAATTGTACCAAACACTCAAAGAAGAATTAATACCTATTTTCCAGAAACTGTTCCAAAAAAATAGAAATGAAAGGAAAACTTCCAAACTCATTTTTAGGATGCCAGCATTACCTTGATCCCAAAAGTGGACAAAGACCCCATCAAAAAGAATTATAGACCAATATCCTTGATGAACATATGTGCAAAAATTCTCCCCCAAATACTAGCCAGTAGGATCCAACAGTACATTAAAAGGATCATTCACCATGACCAAGTGGGATTTATTCCTGGGCTGTAATGTTGGTTCAACATCTGCAAAGTCAATGTGATACAATAAAAGAAAGCACAAGAACCACATGATCCTCTCAATAGATGCAGAAAAAGCATCTGACAAAGTACAGCATCTTTCTTGATCAAAACTCTTCACAGGGTAGGCATAGAGGGTACACATATCACTCAGTATCATAAAAGCCATCTATGAAAAACCCACAGTGAATATCATTCTCAATAGGGAAAAACTGAGAGCTTTTCCCCTAGGGTCAGGAACATGGCAGGGATGTCCACTATCAGCTCTGCTCTTCAACATAGTGCTAGAAGTTGTAGCCTCAGCAATCAGACAAAAAGAAATAAAAGGCATCTGAGTCAGCAAGGAAGAAATCAAACTCTCACTCTTTGCAGATGATATGATACTTTATGTGGAAAACCCAAAAGACTCCACCCCAACACTGCTAGAACTCATACAGGAATTCATTAAAGTGTCAGGATATAAAACCAATGCTCAGAAAGCAGTTGCATTGCTAGACACCAACAAGACAGAAGGAAGAGAAATTAAGGGGTCAATCTCATTTACAACTGCACCCAAAAATGTAAGATACCTAGGAATAAACCTAACCAAAGAGGCAAAGAATCTGTACTCAGAAAACTATAGAATACTCATGAAAGAAATTGAGGAAGACACAAAGAAATGGAAAAATGTTCCATGCTCATGGATTGGAAAAAAAAATGCTATGAAAATGTCTATGCTACCTAGAGCAATCTACACATTTAAGGCAATCCCTGTCAAAATACCATCAACTTCTTTCACAGAGCTGGAACAAATAATCCTAAAATCTGTATGGAACCAAAAAAAGACCCCAAATAGCCAGAGGAATGTTGAAAAAGAAAACCAAAGCTGCTGGCATTCCAATTCCAGACTTTAAGCTCTGTTACAAAGCTGCCATCATCAAGACAGTATGATACTGGCACAAAAACAGATACATCTATCAATGGAACAGAACAGAGCGCCTAGAAATGGACCCTCAACTCTATGCTCAACTAATCTTTGACAAAGCGGTAAAGAATGTCCAAAGGAAAAAAGACAGTCTCTTCAACAAATGGTGTTGGGAAAATTGGACAGCCACATGAGAAGAATGAAACTGGACCATTTCCTTATACCACACACAAAAATAGACTCAGCATGGAGAAAAGACCTCAATACGAGACAGGAATCCATCAAAGTCTTAGAGGAGAACATAGGCAGACCTCAGCCACAGCAACTTCTTTCTAGAAACATCACCAAAAGCAAGGGAAGCAAGGGCAAAAGTGAACTATTGGGACTTCATGAAGATCAAAAGCTTGTGCACAACCAAGGAAACAGTCAACAAAACCAAAAGACAACCGACAGAATGGGAGAAGAGATTTGCAAATCACAGATCAACAGCTAGTATCCAAAATCTATAAAGAATGTATCAAATTCAACACCCAAAGAACAAATAATCCAATCAAGAAATGGGCAGAGGACATGAACAGACATTTCTGCAAAGGAGACATCCAGATGGCCAACAGACACATGAATAAGTGCTCAACATCACTCGGCATCACGGAAATACAAATCAAAACCACAGTGAGACACCACCTCACACCAGTCAGAATGGCTAAAATTAACAAGTCAGGAAACAACGGATGTTGGTGAGGATGCGGAGAAAGGGGAACCCTCCTACACTGTTGGTGGGAATGCAAGCTGGTGCAGCCACTCTGGAAAACAGTAGTTTTTGCATTTGAGGGGGTTCCTCAAATAGTTGAAAATAGAGATATCCTATGACCCAGAAATTGCACTACTGAGTATTTACCCTAAATATACAAATGTAGTGATCCAAAGGGGCATGTGCACCTGAATGTTTATAGCAGCAATGTCCACAATAGCCAAACTATGGGAAGAGCCCAGATGTCCATCAACAGATGAATGGATACAGAAGCTCTGGTATGTGTGTATACACACACACACACACACACACACACACACACACACACAAAATGGAATATTATGCAGCCATAAAACCCCCAAATCTTGCCATTTGCAATGACATGGATGGAATTAGAGGGTATTATGCTAAGTGAAATAAGTCAATCAGTGAAAAACAATTATCAGATGATCTAACTGACATGAGGAATTTGAGAAACAAGATAGGATCATAGGGGAAGGGAGGGAAATATGAAACAAGATGAAACCACAAAGGGAGAGAAACCATAAGAGACTCTTAATCTCAGGAAACAAACAGGGTTGCTGGAGTGGAGGGGAGTGGGAGAGATGGGGTGGCTGGGTGATGGATATTGGGGAGGGTATGTGCTATGGTGAGCACTGTGAATTGTGTAAGACTGATGAATCACAGACCTGTACCCCTGAAAGAAATAATACATTTTATGTTAAAAAAAAAACAAAACAAAACTCAAGGGGCGCCTGGGTGGCTCAGTGGGTTAAAGCCTCTGCCTTCGGCTCAGGTCATGATCCCAGGATCCTGGGATCGAGCCCCACATTGGGCTCTCTGCTCACCAGGGAGCCTGCTTCCTCCTCTCTCTGACTGCCTCTCTGCCTACTTGTAATCTCTGTCTGTCAAATAAATAAATAAAATCTTTAAAAAAGAAAAAAAACTCAAAAAAGTTTCTTGATGATTAAAAACAGCAGCAACAATATTTTCTATCAATTTTGCATCTTACTCCCCCTTTTCTATATCCAATTTTGGGTACAGAGAAGGCGTTTAATAAATGCTGGTTCAATAAATGCCTAGGCAGTATTTTTGGGGATTGTAACACAATTTTATGTACCTTTCACTTGAATTGAAGTAGATCTTTGGGAGCCTGTCCAGGGCTCATAACACAACACCACTGAGGAGATCTTTCATCTTCTCAGTTATCCCTCCTCCCAATGTTGGTCCCACCTAGAATGTATTTCCTTCTCAGAAAAATTAAACAAAAAAATTAAATCCTATAAAAAATGGATGTAATTTAGATAAACCTACAACCACAGTGTGAGACTTCAACACACCTCTCAGCAGCTGATAAACTAAGTGGACAAAGGAGAAAATGACTTAGAAGATCTGAACAATGCAACAAACAAACTTGCCATAATTGACATGTATACGGAATACGATACCTACCGTTAGAACACACATTCTTTTAAAGTTCATGTGGAACATTTTTATCCACATTGATTCCAAGCTGGGTCATACAGCAAGCTTCAGTGAGTGTCAAAGGATTGAAATTACCCAGAGTATGTTCACTGGCCAGAAAAATCACTAAGAGAAAATCTTCTGCCCAAGTGGCCTGGAGAAACCACAACCCAGGTCACACCCACATTCCCCCTGCAATGAGCATGCACAGGGGCATTGCTAGGAAGACAAACCACAGCCCCGCTCACTGGCCTCACTTTCTCCCTCAATCCACAAGGCTTCAGTGGGCCTTTGTGGTCACCCAGCAGTCCTAGCATAGTGGCCTGGTCAGTTCAATCTCAAATGCACCCTTCCCCTCTCTCCTCAAAACTCCAGGCTGGGTGATCATTTTCCTTCTTATTTCACTGAGAAAATAAAAGCAACCACAAGAGCTGTTCATCCACCTGCTCCCAGTTGTAACTGTCACCTCTTTATAAGTGTACCTGAATATTTTCCATTTCCTTCGGTTATATGAAAGAATGTGATTTTATCCAAAGCTTGCATCTCTACTTCTCTGCCCTGGATTCCACTGACTCCTGCCCACTTCAGTGATGCAGAAGAAATGGATGATGTGTGGGAAGGTTTTTTTTTTTTTTTTTTTTAGCATTATATTCATACATATATACATAAAAACGCTGTAATGTCATCTAAAGAAACTTCTGTATGCTCTTCTACTTACTGTCTCATTTGACTCCTTTTACTCATATTTATAGCAACCCCCCTCACAATGATTGTATTTCTATGACCGCAAGCTTGTATTGCATGATCATTCTATCTGTTCCAGGGTAATCCATGGGACACCAAATCCAATGGTCGGTTCTTAGTCTTGGTGATTTGAAAATGCTCAGCTCTATTGGACGCCATTCTTAAAACACTCCTTTTCTTCATTTCTGGAAAACCCTTCCTCCCCCCAATTTTCTTCCTACCTTTTAAGCTCCTCCTGCTTGGTCTCCTTGTTGGCTTCTTCTCTCCTTCCTGATCTTTAAGTGTTGGAGTGCGTCAGGGCTCCAAGCTTGACCTCTTCTCCATCTGTACTACCTCCAGTCATTTCATGCTTCTCTGGATGTAACACTTGGTATGGTGACCATACCCACCCTGACCTCTCTGGCCTAGAGCTCTCGCTGGCCTCCAGACCTGTTCATCCAATTGCTTATTTGACATCTCTACTTACATTTTTATTTTCATTTAAAAAAATTATTTATTTTAGAGAGCGAGAGCATGAGCGGGGAGGAGGGGCAGTGGGAGAGGGAGAAGCAGACTCCTCACTGAGTGCAGAGCCTGACATGGGGCTTGAACCCACAGCCTGGAGATCATGACCTGAGCCGAAATCAAGAGTCATACACTCAACGGAAGAAATCACCAAGGCGTCCCAATGAACATTTATAATAGCAATGAACACTTAGCAGGTCTAAACCCAAATTCCTAATTTTTCTGTCTTCCTGCTCCATGGCCTATATCACCTGCCATACCACCTGCTCTAGAGAGTGCATTATTTTCCTATTACTATGATAACCTATTACCACACACTTAGTGGCTTAGAACCACACCAATTTAATTCTTTTACAGTTCTGGAGGTTCAAAGTCCAAAATTAAATTTCCCTGGGCTGAACAAGGATGGCTGTAGGGCAGTGCCCTCTCTAGAGGCTGGAGGGGAAAATATGTTCCCTTGACTTTGCCGACCTCTAGCGCTGCAGTCTTTGGCTCGCGGCCCCTACCCCCATCTTCAAAGCTAGCAGAGCCCCAGTGTGCTCCAGTCCTCCCAGTGCCTCCTGCCCCTAACAGTCACATTTCTCCTTGCCACCCTGTGATACTGGTACTTGCACTCGCATTGAGGAAGGGCTCACCCAGGTCATCCCCGGTAATAGTCCATTTACACATCCTTACCTTAATCACCTCTGCAGAGGCCCCTGTGCCCGAGAAGGAGACATTCATAGGTTCTGGGCATGAGAAAGTCGTCATCTTGGGGCCGTTACTCAATCCACCATACACAGTAAATGGCATCACCATTCTACTGTTCTTCAAAGTAACGAAAAGCCCCTAACAACCTGATTTCCCGCTCTTAAAACTTCCATTCGACCCAGCAGAAAATCTTTCCACACTTAAGATCTATCAAGGATCTGGTCAGTCCTTGCCACCTTCATGGCTGGCGGCAGTTCATGCCTGAATTATTTCAGTAGCCATGATGCTGCCCTGCTCTGCCATTGCTTAACAGAGTCTGCCTGTTTCAGAGTCTAAGTGGGATGAGGTCACTGCCCGGATGAAAACCCTCTGTGGCTTGGGCGGTGCTTTACCCCCCTTCACCACTCCCCGCTCCCCCTGCTTCTCACTGTCCTCTAGCCCCCTGACCCGCCCTCCGCTACCAGAATGGGAATGCAGCAGGCTGTGCCCCTGAACCAGTGGCACCCTCACTCCCTTGGAGAGATGTACCTGTAGGACTTTCTGGGCTTGCACGTCGACCACAAGGACTCTGTTCAGTGCTGGCTGGGCCACGTAGATGTACCGGTGCCGGACGTTCACGGCCGAGGCCCACTGGCATGGCTGGGTGGCATTTCCTTCCCCTTGGGGACAGATTTCTTCCTGTAAAGGAGACAGGCTGCCATGGATCTTCTTAATCCCCTGGGTCCCCTGCCCTGTGTGGGTCCCTCTCCCTCACCCCCCCGTCCCTCTGTCCCCTTCTTAGAACCCACAAACATGCCACACCAGCCCTCCCACATCACCTGTTTTGAACATTCACCTCCACCTCCTCCCACTCGTGAGGCTGGAACTCCCTTTGCATGTGTTTTTTATGAGCAGCCGCCAGGCCTGCTTTCTTCCCCTCTTGGGTGCGAACTTCCCCGTCTGCACTGAGCTCAGCACTCCAGACTTCTCACTTATTAAATTAAATCTGCTCCCCTTTTTTATTTGAACTTGAGGTACCACCTGACTCCATGCTGCCTATTCTTTGCTTCCTTCCACCAGCTCCCCCACCCCACAGGCTGGTCCTTCTCTGTTGGCTGGATCCTGCTCAGTTTGCTGATCTCTTGGTCTCTATATGTCAGAATGCACAGGGGTCAGTCCCTCAATGATTTTTCCTCTTCACCACTCCCTTTGCTCATCTCATCCCAACTGATGGCATCAAATACCATCTATGTGCATATAGCTCCCAAATTTGTATCTTTAGTTAGAGCCTCTTCTCTGAACTCCAGATGTACGCAGCCAACCACCTCACTCTACTTGGCTATTTGCTGTACACCTCAAACTTGAGAGTTCAAACTTGAGAGTTCAAAGTCAACTCTACTTGGCTATTTGCTGTACACCTCAAACTTGAGAGTTCAAACTTGAGAGTTCAAAGTCAACTCCCAATTTTACCTCCCAATCCTGCTCATTCCTTTAATAAAATGGTAGCTCCACTGTTTTCCTTCCTTAGACCAAAACCCTTATGGCCATCTTTGAGTCCTCTTTTTCTCCTCATCCTCTCAGTCCTCATCAGGGCATCAAAAATCATTTCAGCTCTGCCTTCAAAATACGTTCAGAATTTGACGTTGCCTCACTGCTCCCACCTCCATCACCCGGGCTCAGGCCAAACTATCTACTGAGTAACGGCTGTAGCATCCCTGTTGTACTCCTTGATTCCACCACCCCTCCCCCCGCCCCCCATTCTCAACACAGAATCCAAGGGCATCACTGAGAGTCTGCCCACACCTCTCCTCTCCTCAACACCCTCCACTTCATTAACATTCCTTCTGGCTCAGAAGAGGAGCCAAGGTTTTCCGGAAGTCAAGTAGGCCCTGTCCCCTTTGGCTCCTGCTACTCTTCTGACCTTCAGCTTTTCTTTCCCGTCCCTGCTGTGCTTGCTTTTCTTCCCTCATGCCACCCTCCTGCCCTGTTCATTGGCCTAGCACCACCAGCACACTTTGCCCCTGTACCTGGCTGCATTTGTCATTTCCACCTGACGTTGTGCACTGATCTGGCTACATCTTTTTAGGCTCTCTTCTGTCACTAGAATGCTCTGTGATGGGCTCTTTGTCTGTCTGCTTCACTGCTATATCCTTAGCACCTAGTAAAGGCCTGGCACAGAATGAGGGCCTCAGTATATTTGTTGAATGAATAAATGAGTGAAAAGGGGGACCTTCTTTTCCCTTACCTTCCAGGATACACAGTCTCATGTTTTTTTTTATCATGACTCTCACTCAACTCTGTCTCAGTCTCCTTGTGGTTCCCCTCTTGGTCTGCCCATCCTGTAGCTACTGGCCCCCAGGGTTCTGTTCAGGCACCCAAATCAAAGCACTCATACATACCCTTGGTGATCTTGTCTACCGCTCTGGCTTTAGCCAATGCCCAGATGCAGACGGCTCCCAGATCTATGTCTTTAGGTCAGAACTGCCCTCTTCAATCCTCACTTGGTTCTCCCACAGCCCCTCATACCCAGCCAACCACCCGAAGCTGACCCTCTCCACCATACCTGCCCCTCTCACCAGGTCTGGCCAGCCAGGACCAAGCCTATCACCCTTGCCACTTCCTTCTCTCCTACAGTCCGCCACAAGTGAGTTACCATAGACTACGGAGATGACCTCCTCCATCCCCGAGTTCATCTACTTTCCAGGTCTTTCCTGAATGACTGCAATAGCTTTGGGGCAGAGCTGTCATCTTATACCCTGGCCATTGCCCAGCATCACATTCAGTTCTCATAACTACCCCCATTCACACATGAGAAAACAGAGGCTGGCAGGGGTTAGGTCACTGGTCTAAAGCCACTCAGCCCTGCTGAGGGACAGAGGTGGGATGTGAACCCAGGGGTGCCTGGCTGGGAAGCCTGTGCCTTTGCCTCCTACATGTGCTGCTTCCCACTGCCCAGAGCAGCCCCCTCATTCAGCAGAGACACCTGAGAGGAGACGTGCCAACCTCCTGCTGGCTCCGTGCTTTCAGCAGAGGCTCGCATCACGGTAACCCTCTTGGGAGGTGGTGGGACATTTTCTAGAGGAGAACGCGGTTGGTTGGGACTGTTCCATAGCTCACCATGGTCTGGTGCTGTCTGAAAGGCCTGCGGGGTCTCTCCTACTGTGTCTTGTTCTAGCTTTTTAGGAAATACGAGTCGTGGTTAGGATTTCAGAGATTTCCCTTGAGCTACAGGTTATTGCAAATCTGTGAGAAATTAGTGCCCATGTGACAGGGTGCAATTATTTACACCCAACTGCTAGAAATTAACTAGACCACTCTTTCTAGATGGTTTCACAGCTGTTATGTGGAAGGAAAGTTCATCGGGGTAGCAGATCTAAAAAATGATTAATTCAAATGAAACAGCCTGGAAAACAGCTGGGCCGGAGCTACGAATGCAGGACACACACCACAAGCCAGCATGGCAGTGCAGCAAGCAGGCGGCAGGACCCTGCCTAGGCATGGGCCACTTCCCCCATGAGCTCCAGGCCTGTCCCCGCTCACTGGTTCCTTCACATCAGGCCTTGAGGAGAGGCCTGGGGGGGCCTGCCGACGACTTTTCTGGGTTAATGTCATACTTCTACCGTCAAGTAGCTAAGGGTACACCTTATCTAGGAAACCACCAACATAAGGCCTAGAGAGAAACCAACAGGAGGGACAGAGCCCTGGGATGGGGTAGATGGGGAAGCACTGTCTGGGGGACACCTGTAGACAGCTGGGTCTAGAGGGCTAGAAAGACTTTCCTGGACCTGCCACCGGCAGTCATCTCTGTGGCCTCCATCCATGTGGCATGGCCGTTGTGCCCTTGGCCTCATACTTCATAGCACCTCTGATGCTTGGGGCATTCTCATCTTGCATGCTCTCTCCCCTGGTTCTTCAGGGGCCACTGAGCCCCTCGCAGCTCACTTCCTCTAGTGACTAGTTGAGGCTCACTTCCTTTTGTAAACTTAGCTATCCTTGAGTTCTGTGACCCATGTTCTCCAGGCTTCCTTAAAGCTACTTTTTTTTTTGCCTGCCAGGGAGCCACGGGCTCTCTAGCTCACCATGGCCCATCCCCTCCTTGTCCTCATCTTCTGGATGTTTCTATGCTTGTGTCCCATGGGTGTCTTAAATTTACATCGTAGGCCACCCTCGTCTCTTTGATGAGGAACTTATCTGCCCTGCTTTTGGGATCCCAGCATGAGACGGAGAATGTGGCACATGCCTCCTAGAGTGACAAGAGAATGAACAGTACCCCTAACCTGCCTCTCCTCCTGAGTGAAGGACAGTCTGTTCCTCCTAGCAAGACCCCAGATGACCCTTGTGGTGCCTGCTGATATAACACTAAATCTACTCAGTTATTCCCATTGCCACTGCCCCTGACTTGGCTAGGTCACCACCCTCTCTCACCCAGATGCTCACAACAGCCTGTACACCTGCTTCTGGGCTTCCAATCCTGTCCTACTCATCGTCACCCTCACTGGGGCCTCGCACTTGTTCTAAAGCAGCCCCACCAGGGCTGTGATTCATTTGAGGTCCTCCAGGCATCCCCAGAACTTTCAAGATCTGCCACTAAAACTCCTCAGCTTTAACCCTGGCCTCTGGTCATCTTAATCTCAAAACAAGTATTTGCAATTCCCCAGATGTGACATGCCACTTTATGCCACCAGGTGCCATGTTCATAACATTCCCTTTAGAAACGCATCCCCAGTTCCTACTTGTTCTTCACAGCTGGGCCCAGGGATGCCCTGCTAGAGAGCCTTCTCTGACTTGGTCCTTCCTGGGTCTGGAGAGGCCTCACCCCCTCAGTGTCCCAGTGTACCTTGCAGCTCCTTCAAGCAGCACCTGCTGTGGCCATCCTTTCTCTGTGAACTAGTGGAGAAGAGAAACCCGTCCGTAAGCCTTGGGCCTCACCCAGGGCTCTGTGCACGGAAGGCCTAATCAAGGAATGAGCCCTTCAACTCTTAACCTCCCATGGATGTTATGGAGCCTTGGAACACACGTGGAACCACACCACATATAGCAAATGGAACCTGGGACATCAAGGGGTGGTCACGGTGGAAGACTGGCTCTCAGGCACAGACACTTACAAAGCTCATGAATATCTTCTCGGTGGGTCGGAGGTGCCTCTGGATCTCACAGTCCACGGGGTGCAGGATGATGATGCCATCGTCAGAGAAGACGTAGAACATGTTCCCCACACTGAGGCCTGGGAGGAGCAAACACAGCCATGGTTATGCACCCCCATCCCCAGCGGCCAGCTCCTAAGTAGGGTCACGTGCCACGCTGGGCAAACCCACCCCTGCGGTTTGGCTGTGTGTGGTACAGGCACAAAGTGTGGGGCCCTGGTCAAGGTGACATGAGCTAAGCAGGAGGTATGTGGGCAGCCCAGGGAGAAAGTGCCAGAGGACTGTGAATCACTCCACAGGTGAGGGCTCTGTGAACCCTGGGCTATCCTTCCAGACACATGCTTTTGCCCTAGGGCACCGCGGGCTGGCCACCAACACAAGTCGGCAAATACATGACAGCCTTGGCTCTAGCGTACATTTGGTCTTTTGTTTGTTGTCAACTAGTCAAACAGATGGGTCAGATCATGCCAGAAAAGCAAAGCCTCATTTTTTTTTTTTCAGCACATTTATGTGCCACACCACTCCTAGGAACCTAAGAATGTTGTGGCTGGTACTCCTTTGTGCCAGTTTCGTCCTGGCCTGTTGGTGCCAGCAAATCCTTCCTTCAAGACAGGCTGCTCCCACCTCTGCCTCACCATTTTCTCACCTCACCATTTTCTCTGTGGCAGCCCCAGGTCAGGCGATGGAGCCCCACCCTGGTCAGGCCCGCTTGCCTGCTCCCACCACCACCCTGGTGTGGCCATGTGGGGAGAAACCTCAGAGTAGCAGAGAAGGGGACCTGGGAGGATCTAGTTTGGCCTCCTTATTACAAAGACAAAAATACTGAGGCCCAGGGAAGGGAAGGGGCTTGGTGGAGGCTACTTGGATTTACACCAGAGCCGGGGCTGGACCCCAAACCCCTACTCCAGGCTCTCACTGTGCCTCAACATAAAACATAAAGATGGCACAAAATTGGTAAGGTTTGAGTTCTCCTTTTCTTTCTCCCTCATTTTATTTCTTGTGAAGGTGGAATATTCAGCAGATTTCCATAAATGCTAAGAAAATTAAATCTATGAAAAACATGCTCTTTCCTAGCACGCTGAGAGACCCAGCATACTGACTTCATTGACTATCTGGGTAGGTTTTCGGTGTTAGAAACCATACAACACGAAATAGGAGCCAACATTCCACCTGCTTCCAGTGACTCTGCAGGCAGTTTTCTGGGCCTCAGGCCCTTCCTGCCCGGGAAGCCCCAGTGCCTGGGGTTCCCAGTGTGGACCAAGGTTACTGACTCCAGGACACAGTCTTAGCTGCTGCTGCTTCTGTCCTGAGAGAGGGGCTGGGAAGGAGGGCTCTGCCACTGGGCACAACTTGACCCCAGGCTCTCAGAAGCTAGCAGTGTCTGGGAGCACCCTGCACAGGTCTCTCTGGGGAATCCTGGGGGTGCTAGGCAGCCTGTCCCAAGAGCTACAGGAAGGGGCCTCGTCTCAGCTCCCAGGACATCCCAGCTTCTGGTCCATATGTGCTCTGTCCCCGTGGGGCCTTCTCTCTGTCCACTCTCCCCTGGCAAACTTATTTTGCTCAGACCTATGAGTCAAAATCCCTGTCCCTGGGGTCCCTCGGCCTCCCAGGGTCTCTTAGGAAGTGGACAGCTGCAAGGACCAAGGTAAGCCTGAAAGCTTGGGGACCCCATGTGGGGTTGCAGCTGTGGCCACGTGGCAGGCAAAGCATAGCCTCCCTCACGGTCAGCAGTGGAACGCGGGCCTCGCCAAACAACCGACTTCACAGGAGACAGAGCCAGCCTCCTGATCTGGTCCCCTGGAGGGTTCTGTCTGAGTGGAACTTCTAACAGGGCACAAAGGCGCTTTCTTTGCTGTGGCGTACCCCAATCATCTCATTTCTCTTGTTGAGATGGAACAGATCCCTGCGGCCTGCTGGCCTGTGGGTTATGCTCCTGTATTTCCTAGTTCCAGCTGTGAAGGGTACAAGCAGCCGGCTGTCTAGGCAGGATGGCACTTGTTGCACCTGTCACACCGCAGCCAAAAAGCAGCTGGGGGTCTTAAGTTGCCCTCAATGTGAGGCCTCTGTGCTCTGTTTCATACATCCCAGGGTCTCCTGCATTCTTTGCTGGTCTCCGCTTTTGAAACTTGAGCCTCTTTGTAGTGAATACAATTTTAGAAAATTACCACCTCTTAAAGACCCAGAGGGAAAGCTCTCTACATGCATTGTGGCTTAGCGCTAGGTCGGGCAGCATTGGGGGACGGCTGTCCATGGTGAGTGGCAGTTGCTACAACCTGTCTTCCCAAGGAATCCTAGCGCCTACTGGCATTAATTCCTCATTTTTCAGGTTCTGCTTTTGTTTTGCTCTGTGACTTACTGTGAGCAGCAGTGCCTGACATTCAGGAAATTGTTCTGAGTATGTGCACGCATGCATATGCCAGACTCTAGGAAATGCCACGAGGAAATGTTTACCAGGAAAAAAATGAGACAGGAAATAGGCCAGCTTTTAAAGAGGAGATTTTGTGCATAACCCCGAAATCACGGGATGCATTCTGCTTCTCATCTCCTCCCTGAAGCCCCCATCCACCAATCAAGCCCCATCCTGGAGAATAAGTTACCTCCAGGTGATGGGAACTCTGCTCTGGTGGAGGGGCTGCACTGGGCCGGGGTCCACAAAGGGTGACTCAGGCCCTATAACCCAGTTCCCACATGGGTCTGCTGTTTTTTGAACCACATGAAATTGTTAGTATTAGACCATTTTTGACATACAAGAATGGCCATTTTTTTTTAGGGTCCAACCTAGTATCTAAAGATGGTTTGATAAATAAAATTTAAAAAAATCTATTCACTTAAAAATGTACATTTATAGAAATCATGGTGGTTTTTTTCTTCAGCATTTCCTCAAAGTGTATGTCTAAACTTTGAGAACTCCAGAACCAATATCACCTTCTGGAAAAAAGTTGAAGGCCTCATCCAACCAGGGACCCCTGCCAAGTAATCTGCTTCAGTGATGGTTTCAAATAGCTTTAGATAGCAACTTCCCACTTTTAAGTTCTGATGGACTGGTGTCTATTAAAGACACAATTACATTTTCTTTATTATTTTTTTAAGATTTTATTTATTTATTTGACAGAGATCACAAGCAGGCAAAGAGGCAGGCAGAGAGAGAGAAGGAAGCAGGCTCCCTGATGAGCAGAGATCCCGATGAGGGGCTCGATCCCAGGACCCTGAGATCATGATCTGAGCCGAAAGCAGAGGTTTAACCCACTGAGCCACCCAGGCGCCCCACAAGTACATTTTAAATCTGCTTCTCAGCATATGACTCTTGGGTCATTGACCTCCGCCCTCCCATCCAATCAGGCAGGTGGACCGCACTGATGGGGACTGCATGGCTATCTGGGAAAGCTGATGGTGGCCCATGGAAATATGGCCCATGATGGAAACATGAACACAGGTGATCACAAGCACAACATAGAAGAATAAAACTTGGTACCTTCTTCTCGCCACAGAATGTTTGCAACTACAGCGTCAGAGAATCAGGAGACCAGAAACATGATTGAGGGAAGGAAAAAAGAACAAAGCAATGTTAGCAGTTCACTGTAGTAATTCCTTTCAGGGATGGATGGCTACCTAATCCCTTGTGTATGGAGTCTGCCCCACTCACTGCCAAGCAGCAGCCCTCTGATGGAACTCTGGATGTGGACAAATGTTTCTAGGTCTCAGGACATTTTCAATTTCTAAATAGTCTCTGAAATCAGGTCCACTAATGGGATCCTCCACTTCTGTGGTTGACAAGGAGAAAGGAACCATTCTCCCAGAGTTCCTGATTACTTCCAAAAGCCAGGCTGATTTTCAGCTAGGATTCTCCAAGGAAGACCATTTGAGACACTATTCTGATGATCTCCTTTGATGAAGAAGACTCAGCTTGGAGTCTTTAAACAAGGGCAAGAGATCCTGGCTACCACTCATGTCCATGGAATCACACCTGCAGAGCCACTTGGGGTAATGGTGGCTACCTGGGAGGGCACACAGGTGGGGGATAATCCCTGGAGTCAAGGTTATGTGTGCATGTGTGGCTGGGTCACTTCCTGGGCCACGGTGGTACGTCAGCATGTGATAAAAATCATGAATGGATATCTAGTCTATCATATATGGAATCTGTGTCACTGACTGGTGGGTGGAGAGGAGAACTTCTATGGGTAAGGGGCAGAGGTACTAGTCTATACAGAAAGTAGGAGGCAGAAGTGGGGCTAGGATATGTAAGCTTTCTTGTGGTCTTGGGCACTCTCTGCTTCCAGGGAACTTCCCCATCTGTGTGCTGTTGAGGTTGCCAGTCTGCTTACCTCTGGGCACCCCTGCCCCAGCTGTGAGCACAAGAGAATATGGGAATTTACCCCTGTCTTCAGGGGCTCATGGATGGTGGGTGCAGCCTTGGTCAGTTGGTCCCCTTGCACCCAACACCCCCCAACCAGCGCAATGAGGAGCTCAGAGGCAAGAGTGGACTCACGGGTCTTTCTAGCTGAGTCTTCAATGAAAAGTGAGGAGATATCCTCGTCCACGCCCACTTCATTTCTGGCGATGCAGGTATACGCCCCTGTGTCTTCATACCGAACACTGGCGATGTGCAGTTCACTCCCATTGGCTGGAGGAAGGACAGTGCTCAAGATGGTCTGCTTAGCTGGGAACCCCCCCCTCCCAATCTCCTTTTTATCCAGAGTGGTGATGTTAAAAACACAGGCCCTCGGCAGGGATGAGGGCAACCAATATCCGTGATACATGCCCAGAAAGGGCTCGATCAGCTGAACTAAACTGAGGCTGACTTGGGACAGGATTGACAGCTTATCATCTTTGCGCTCAAAAAGCCCACAAGATCTGTGTGAGTGCAGGTAGCAGGAGAATTTGGGGAGACATTTGTTCACCCCCAACACATCTGACTTAGAAACAAATCATGTCTCTCATTTCGCTGGGTAAAGTATCAGCTTGAACTTGACAGGAAGAGCAGAGAGGCACCGAGGGCAGTTCTTACCTAGTAGGGAAAGCTGTTTCGACATCTGGGTTGAGACATCCATGCCATTTTTCAGCCAAGTGATTCTAGGCATAGGAATGCCCTCTGCGTGGCATCTCAGACTGGCTGCCACCCCAGGCTCCTGTGCCTGGGTCTCTGGATACACGCGGATGACTGGTGGCACTATGGATGAAGTTGGTGCTGGTCAGACAGGGCCCTAACCTGGCCGTGGGCCCGTGCTCTGGCCCCACACCTGCTCCCGAGGGTGAACCAAGATGCAGCTCTGGAGTTCTCTTTGTAACTAGCTCACAGTCATCCTGTTCAGCAGCTCAAGCCCTCAAAGAAAGGACTATAAAATGAATTGTAAGCAATAAACATGTCAGGCTTTGTGCCCTGTAATTCATGACTTTCACCATTATTCTAAATATGATCAGAAAGACATCCAGATATTGAATGCTGTTCAGCTGCCACATGTGAAGAGCAACAGCCACTGCACATTTATTTCTGAATGAATAAAATTCAGATATATTATTTCTGTTATTGGAAAGACATTGGACAGGGGCTTAATTATTTGCAGGAAGTGCTTCACAAAGCATTTATGGTCAATGACTGGCAAGGCTACTAACTACATCACTACTCTGGGGGAAATCCTTTGATTTTCCTGTGAATCACTGTTATTTCCCCACTTCTCACCCCCCACAACATGGGTGAAAGGAAAGTGGGCCCTCCTTGGCTCAGCCATGAGCCCTGGCAGCCAAGTTCAGGGCTGAGGATGTGACCTGGCCCACTCATCAGAAGAACACGGGTGAGGGGGAGGGAGCAAGATGGCTGAGGAGTAGGAGACCGAGATTATCATCAGGTACTAGGAGTTCAGCTAGACAGTTATCAAACCATCTGGAACACCTACAAACTCAACAGGAGAAAGAAGAGAAGAGCAGCAATTCTAGGAACAGAAAACTGACCACTTTCCAGAAGGTAGGATGTGTGGAAAAGTGAATCCAAAGAGACAGGAAGATAGACTGTGGGGAAGGGGCCAGCTTATGGCAAGTGGTAGAGCAGCCGAGCACAAAATCGGAACTTTTAGAAGTCTGCTCCACTGAGGGATGTTGCTCCACAGGCTAAGCAGGGGATGGAGCCCATGTAGGGACAGTGTAGTCTCCAGACCCATAGAGACGTAAAAAGACCGGGAATGTCCGAGTGTGGCAGATCTCCCAGGTATTGGAGTGGGAAGCCAGCAACAGAAACGGAGCTGAGAAGTAGGCTCTTGACTCAGGGTTACCTTAAACTGCGATTGAAGGCATATCAGGACACTGCTCTTCGAGCAAGGACCCCACAAGCAGCAGATCCAGGGAGACCCCCTCCTTCCTCCTCCAGGAGGAGTGGTATGGGAGTGCTGCAGGAATCGGCTGGGTTTGGAGACTCCAAATGGGGCTGTGTGCCAGAGATAGAAATTCTCGGTCATAGGCTGGGTGAGCTCGGAGTGCGGCTGGAGACCAGGGAGACAGGAGGGATTGACATTATTCTCTGAGGGCACACTGAAGAGTGAGGCCCCAAGATCTTAGCTCCTATAGGGCCAGAGATTGGGAGGCTGCCATTTTCATTACTGTCCTCCAGAACTCTATGGGAAGTGTTCAGGGAACAAAAGCTCCAAGAGCGAACCCGAGCAGATTACTTAGCCTGGTCCTGTGGCAAGGGCGGTACAATTTCGCCTTGGGCAAAGACATTTGAGAATCACTGCAACAGGCCCCTCCCCCAGAAGATCAGCAAGAACATCCAGCCAAGATCAAGTTCACTGATCAATGAGAACTGCAGAACTCCAGAGCTAGGGGAAAGCAAGACATAGAATTCATGGCTTTTTCCCCATGATCCTTTAGTCTTTCAAAGTTAAATTTTTAAAATTTTCTTAATCTATTTTTTAATTTTTCCCTTTTCTTATTTTAATGTTTTAAAGCTATTTTATCTTATCAATACCATTTTAAAAATCTTTTAAAATTTTCATTGTTATAGTCATATTTTATACCTTCATTGTATTTAACCTTATTTTTTGTATACATATAGGTTTTTTTTTTTTAAATTTTGGTATACAATTTCTTCTAATAGATCAAAATATACTGTAAATCTAGCACATGGTTTTGTTCTAGTCTCTAGCCTGATCACATTTCCCCCCATTTGTTTTCTTTTTTCAACCAACTTCTTATTCCTATTTTAGACTTTTTTAAAATTTTCATCTTTACAGTCATATTCTATTCCTTCATAGTGTTTACCCTTATTTTAGTATATGTATATATATTTTTTCTTTCTTTAAAATTTTTGGAGGTACTTTCTTCTAACAGACCAAAATATACCAAAAATCAAGTGTGTGGCTCTGTTCTATTCACCAGTCTAATATATACATATACATACAATATATACGTGTGTGTGTGTGTGTGTGTGTATATACACACACAAATTTTATATATATATATATATATATATATATATATATATTTTTTTTTTTTTTTTTTTTTTTTTTTTTTTTTTCCATTTCTCCCCCTTTTCTCTCCCCCTGGTTTCAGGGCTCTCCTGACTTGGTTAGTGTATCTTTTTCTGGGATCATTGCTACCCTTTTAGTATTTTGTTCTCTCATTCATCTATTCTTACCTGGATTAAATGACAAGGCAGAAAAACTCACCACAAAAAAATGAACAAGAGGAAGTACTGATGGCTAGTGACTTAATCAATACAGACATTAGTAATATGTCAGAACTAGAGCTTAGAATGATTATCTAGATGATTATCAAGGTGCTAGCTGGGCTTGAAAAAAGCATGGAAGATGTTAGAGAAGCCCTCTCTGGAGAAATAAAAGAACTAAGATCTAACCACATTGAAATAAAAAAAGCTATTAATGAGATGCAATAAAAAATGGAGGCTCTTACTGCTAGGATAAATGAGACAGAAGAGAGAATTTGTGATATAGAAGACCAAATGATAGAGAATAAAGAAGCTGAGCAAAAACAACAACAACAACAACAAAACCAACAAAACAACAACAACAACAACAAAAAACAAAAACAACTGCTGGACCATGAGGGGAGAATTCAAGAGATAAGTGATATCATAAGACAAAACAATATTTGAATAATTGAGTTCCCAGAAGAAGAAGAAAGAGAGAGGGGGCAAGAAGGCATAATGGAACAAATTATAGCAGAGAATTTCCCTAATTTGGCAAAGGGAACAAGCATCAAAATCCAGGAGGCTCAGAGAACCTCCCTCAAAATCAATAAAAATAGGTCCACACCCCATCATCTAATAGTAAAACTTACAAGTCTCAGTGACAAAAAGAAAATCCTGAAAGCAGCTCAGGACAAGAGGTCTGTAACATACATGGTAGAAATATTAGATTGGTAACTAATCCACAGAGACCTGGCAGGCCAAAAAGGGCTGGCATGATATATTCAGAGCACAAAATGAGCAAACGATGAAGCCAAGAATACTATATCCAGCTAAGCTCTCACTGAAAATAGGAGAGAGAAAAAGCTTGCAGGACAAACAAAAATTAAAAGAATTTGCAAACACCAAACCAGCCCTACAGGAAATGTTGAAAGGGATCCTCTAAGCAAAGAGAGCCCAAAGTAACAGACCAGAAAGGAACAGAGACAACATACAGTAATAGTCACCCTACAGGCAATACAATGGCACTGAATTCATATCTTTCAAGAGTTACCCTGAATGTAAATGGGTGAAATGCCCCAATCAAAAGACACAGAGTAACGGAATGGATTAAAAAAAACAAAAACAAAAAAGAGGGGCACCTGGGTGGCTCAGTGGGTTAAAGCCTCTGCCTTCGGCTCAGGTCGTGATCTCAGGGTCCTGGGATCGAGCCCCACGATGGGCTCTTTGCTCAGCGGGGAGCCTGCTTCCCTTCCTCTGCCTGCCTCTCTGCCTACTTGTGATCTCTGTCAAATAAATAAATAAAAATCTTTTTTTTTTTAAAAGAGAGATCCATCAATATGCTGTCTACAAGAAACTCATTTTAGACCCAAAGACATCTCAGATATAAAGTGAGGGGGTGGAAAACCATTTACCATGCTAATGGACATCAAACAAAAGCTAGGGTGGCAATCCTTATATCAGGCAAATTAGATTTTCAACCAAAGACTGTAATAAGAGATGAGGAAGGACACTCTTTCATACTTAAAGGGTCTGTCCAACAAGAAGATCTAACAATTTTAAATATCTATGCCCCTAACATGGGAGCAGCCAACTATATAAACCAATTAATAACAAAATCCAAGAAACACATAAAAATAATACAATAATAGTATGGGACTTTAACACTCCCTTACTGAAATGGACAGATCATCAAAGTAAAAGACCAATAAGGAAATAAAGGCTTTAAATGACATGTGACCAGAAGGATATCACAGATATATTTAGAACATTCCATCCTAAAGCAACAGAATACACATTCTTCTCTAGTGCACATGGAACATTCTCCAGAATAGATCACATTCTGAGTCATAAATCAGGTCTCAACTGGTACCAAAAGATTGGGATCATTCCCTGCATATTTTTAGACCACAATACTTTGAAACTAGAACTCAATCACAAGAGGAAAGTTGGAAAGAACTCAAATACACGGAGGCTAAAGAGCATCCTACTAAAGAATGAGTGGGTCAACCAGGAAATTAAAGGAGAATTGAAAAAATTCATGGAAACAAATTAAAATAAAACACAACTGTTCAAAATCTTTGGGACCAAGCAAAGGCAGTCCTGAGAGGAAAGAATACAGTGATATAAGCCTTTTTCAAGAAACAAGAAAAGTCTCAAGTACACAACCTAATCCTACACCTAACAGAGCTGGAAAAAGAACAGTTAAGAAAGCCTAAATCCAGCAGGAGAGCAATAATAAAGATCAGAGCAGAAATCAATGAAATAGAAACTAAAAGAACCATAGACTAAATAAACAAAAGTAGGAGCTGGTTCTTTGAAATAATTAATAAGATTGATAAACCCTTGACCAGACTTATCAAAAAGAAAAGAGAAAAGACCCAAATAAATAAAATCATGAAAGAGGAGAGATCACAACCAACACCAAAGAAATACAAACAATTACAAGAACATATTATGAGCAACAATACACCAGCGAATTTGACAATCTGGAAGAAATGGATGCATTCCTAGAGATGTAAAAACAATGAAAA